TCGGGTCAGTGTAGAAGTCGGAGGAGCGACCGTGTCTTCTTATTTATTTTATTTTCCGAGGTAATTATCCATCTCATCGGCGATTGTAAGGAGATTCCGAGTCAATTAAGAGCCGTAGCACCCGCCAGCGTAGGAAAAGAGAGGGGAAAATGCCGATAAAGAGGAATAATGAGTGTTTTCTTCCTCAGGTGCCTTGTCTTGGAGAGGGAGAGAGAAGTGCAACATTGATCATTTTCATTCACATTTTTGCTTTTTTTTTACCGATGGTATTCCCACACGTTCTTGTATTATACCGTTTTTATCGTGGTTGTGAGTCGGTCGCCGTGAGTCAGTGGATGAGTTAGTGAATTCGTTGAAGGCATTTGGTGACATTTCTTGAGCGGTGAGTCAAGGGGGGGGAGGGGGGGGGAGGGGGCATAATCCCCCCCCCTTTGAATAATTCACGTGTTTTATTTCTATTATGGATCGTTATATGGGCGTTTGCCATAGTCCGAAATGATCTTTGGCGTGTTGTGGCTTTTTATTTCTCTGTGTTGTAAGTTCGCAGTTCTCGGGAAGCATTGTGGAGAAATTGCTTTTGATTGCTTTTCTCATTTTCTATTATTGAGCTGATTTCTCTCGTTTTTTTTTTTTGTTATTGCCTGATTTTGACTTGTTTTCCACTACTTTGCTTTTGTGCTTTGATCTTTAAACTCGTTTTATTTTTGGTGGAACTTAATGAGGCCAAAGAATGTAGACCTACATTTTTTATAAGATTTGAGAGGTGATATTTTGATAATTGCAAAATGATTGTATTTTTCCCTTTTTGTTAAGAGACCATGCCTCTATGCCAATAATTTTGTAAGTTTGCATTGAGATTATTAATTTATTTTATTTATTTGCCGTTTCATAATTTTGCTCTAATTAGCGGTTTGTTATTCATGGATATATTTGCAGTTATTTCATGTATATCGATGCCTTAGACCTTAAGATGTCAAAAAGAAAGCTCTGACACAAACTGAAGAATCAACAGGAACAGGTTTAGTTCAATTGATTTATAAACAATGATTATTTGATGGGGAAATCTAAAATGAAACAAAATCCATTATTCATTCAGTTTCCTCTCAGGAAAAGGATTTTTTTTACGTGAAGAAAAATACTGTAATGCATAAATAATGCCCTTGCTCCTTTAGCAGATGACAGTAAATATACTTGTCTCATGAGGTGTGTAATCTTTCTTACCCATTTTCTCTTTCAATCCATTATCTCAATTTGGCATTGAAGTAAAAGGAATTGAAATAGATCAGAAGCACATTCAGTAGATTGGATATGCAAACATTAACTTGTCTTGTTTGTTTGGAGATGTCTGCATGTGCTTGCTTGTGTCCAGGCAGCCATTACATGGTGAAGGAAAGTTTGTTGAACCTGACAAAGAAGTGGAACCGGTTAACATTAATGTTAAAACGTTAGTTCCATGTTGGTTACAAGAGGTTGTTTTGGTTAACCAAAGCAGTTCAACCAATACCTGGGAGAATTCATTGTTTTTAATTTCATAACTTCAGGTTTGTTATTTAGGTATTGAAGTTGCTTGTTAGTTGTGGTAGTAATTAATTTTTGAGGAAATGGCAAATACCTCTAGCAGCCTGTAATAGTTATGGCAAAATTTCAGGTTCTCAGCTTGAATTTATGCTGGTTATTGAATCCCAGAAGTTAGTGCTATATTTATTTTTCATAGGGTCCTCCACTGAATACTTACCGGTGAAGAAATGATGGATGCGAATGGCTGAATCTTTGTAGGCAACAATTTTCTCCCCTTTTATTATTCAACAGCTTTTTTGTTTCTGGCTTGATAAGGGTTGCAAGTGTGACTCTTCCCCAGATTGAAATTCCTTGTGGTAAATTCCAAGTATGGACAGCCAGACAGCAGAGGAAACAATACTAAACTATGTGAATTCTTGATCGATAAGGTGACAATAATCTATATCATTTGAATCTCCCATTTTTATGGTTTCCATTATGGCCTTCATTTTAAACTTGATTAACTTGATGTGACAGTATCCAGTTAAATACAGTCCCATTTCTAATGTCGTAGGGAAAGCAAGATGGATTTAACTAATCCTTACTAAATATATTTCATAATACACTGCATATGATAGATATACTGCAGAAGATTTAATTATGTTCATGGTAAATTTTGGTATAAGTAAAAAAAAAATCTGTTTTTTTATGTTTTATATATTTATATTTTTGTATGCAATGTTATTTCATCTGCATATTATAAAGTCTGTATTTGTTTTGCAGTAAGGAATATCATTATAATTGAAAATCATGAAGTGAAGAAATGATATTGGTAACAGTAAGCAATTGTATTTTGTAGACAACCTGATTATCTTGGCAAAGATTTACTTTGATAATTGTTACTGAGAATGATGCACCCTCTGGAGTCGAAGTCCCAAAACCAGGGTTTCAGGTGACCCCAGAAACCTAAACTTAACCTTTCCTACCTTCTATTTATTCCCTAGACAGGGGGTGATGGCAGTGTCCATTTCCCTCTATCTCTGTGCATCGCTCTCGATAACTTATACCTTTAATTTAAAAAAATTCTGAAGGGAGAAAATGGATCACTTGATGCAATATTTGTTTACAGTTTGGGTTGTCACATTACAGATATTACTAGAAATATATGTTTATTATTTGTAGATATGTATGGCTGTGTCACCAGTTTAAATGCTGACTACGAAGCAATTTTTTTGTCACTAGCTGAAATAAAGTTGTATTTAAAAACTTCTAAAGGAATTGAAAGGAGAGTAGATGAACAACTATGAAAATGTAATTTGTGAAAAAGGTTAATCCGGCAACTGTGAGGCCGTATTTAATAGTATGATAATGATGATGATAAAGATAATAATAGTTATTATAATAACAAAGTTGGTAATGATAGTGATAATGATGATACTGATAATGTTGAGTATAATAAGTTATGATAACAGTGATAATGGTAACCATAGTAATAGTTATAGTGATAATGATAATGCTATTGATAATAAAAAGGATAATGAAGATGATAATACAAAGGATAATGATGACAATACTTTTTTAATAATGAAGCAGTATCTGTGCTTGTGCATAAGGCTTCAGCCCCATTGATTGAGCATAAGAAGTTACAAAGCTATGTGACAATGCCTCCCAGATTAGGACAGACTTGTTTTGTTTGTTCTTGGCATTATATGGTTCTACAGTGATTTCAGGGTTTAGCAAGTTTTATAGGGTGACTAGTTTCTAGTAAAATGAGGATTTGGACTTTCTATTTTTTAGGAGTTCAGTATTGAGATAATATTATAGAATATAAAAAACAGGAATTAAGAAAGTGAAGAGTCAAAATTTTAAAAGAAGTTGCAAAGAAACTTTTTTTTTGGGGGGGGAGCATAGTCAAGAGAGAAGACATTAAAGTGCTGGATTAGCTAAGAAGAAAATCATTAGCCATTACTGATAAAAATGTTTTTAGATTCTATGGGAAATTATGCATAAGACAAAAATGATAAAAGAATGAATGTTGAAAAAGAGACGTGCAGAATGTCTGTAAAGAAAGTACCTTCATTTTCTTAATGATAGGCTTACAATTAGACTTTCATTAATGATACATACAGGTATGATTTGAGTAATGTTGAATATTTTTATTCATCTTTATTGATTAAAGAGAGACTAATTTGTTATTCTTATTGTTCTTATTTTTGATATTTATTCTCTTTATTCTTTCAAAGTTTTGGAAATAAATTAGAGGTTTAATTGTTTTCATTCTACTTTTCAGATAATTAGTTAAAATGGAAGAAGACACAGAATACCTCAAGCTTCCCCTGGAGGACAGGTGTATCCACAAAGTGAGTGGGAGTCATTGTGTTTATGTTAGAGGACGTCTCATTTTTAGGAAGTGACCCATTATTTAAACCTAGGAAACTGATTGTCATTTAGTAATGAGTAAGTGTTTTTTATGAAATGAAGTTGCTTGATAGTGAATATTGAAGTAAAAGTTTGTAATGAAATTGCATAGTACATTTTATATGAATAGGTTTTGCAATGTTCAGTGTATATATATATATTACCTTGTGGAATTATTCATTCATAATTTTTTTTTTACGCTGAACTGGATGGTATTTTTATTCACATTAACCCATTATTAGATCAAATATATGCTCATCTTCCATAATTTAATTATTGTTTTTTATTTAGTTATAAAATCCTTTTCTTTCTGGTATGCCTTGTGATACTTTTGAGTTAGGATATATAAAATTGTGTTAATTTTGTTACTGTGGTCTGTGATTTCAGCTCTGGAAGGCACGATTGAGTGGATATGAAGAATGCACAAAGCACTTCCCTAAGATTGTGGATGAACGGTCCCCAGAATTCAACAAATTTGCTCCTCTTATGAAAAAATTTGTAACCGATAGCAATGCAGTTGCACAAGAGAAAGCATTGGAAGCTGTACTGGCTTATGTGGAAAATGCACATGTGGCTGGAAGGTAAATGTATTTTATTTCTTGTCTTGCATTCTTACCAATACACCTAGTATTGGTTTAGATTGTAGGATTATTTATGAATATTTATTCTTTGTTTAACGTATTATAAGTTGAGAAAATTGGTATAAATCTCTTTAGTAAATTTCATAAATAGCATGATTACTATTGTATATATGTCAATATATTTATAAAATGTAAAATATCTACCCTCATGTGAAACTATTAGTAGTATTAGTATTAACAATAATTTCGTCATTTCTAAAGGACGGCAGGAGATGTTACAAATGGAATTGTTCAGAAATGCTTAGCAGCACCAAAACGCGGTACACAGGAAAAAGCGTTGGAGGTGATCCTCATGTACTGTGAAATTGAGAAATATGAAGTGGTTCAAGAGGAACTAATGAAAGGTTTTACACAAAAAAATCCCAAAGTTGTTGCTGCATCTGTACGAGCAGTAACAACCGCTTTGAGGTATGTGGAGAAAAATGTCTTTGGTTGTCCTCGTCCTCCTCCTCCTTCTCTTCCTCATCCCCCGCTCCACTCCCTCCTCCTCCTCTCCTCCTCCTCCTCTCACAAAGGGATTTCAGATAATATTTTAGTTATATATATAGTTTGTTCTTCAGAATAGAATTCATTCATCATCAGTTTTTAGGTGATTTATTTGTTTGTTTTTAGTGTTTCTGTAGTTTGCCAACATTTGAGAGGATTTTTTCTCAAAGTTAAATTCATTGTGTGTATACATGTATTAGAGCATTAAAATTACAATTTAGGATTATAATTCACTAGCATTATCAGCTTTATCATTAGCTATTGTAACTTATGTATAATTTTTATTGACAACTCTTGGCTGAACATTGAGAAAATTAGTTTACAGTTTATTGTCCTCTGCTTTGAGTCCAGTTGTTTCTCATGGTTTCTTTTTTCATAACAGAGAATTTGGCCCAAAGGTTATGAACCCTAAGCCACTAATAAAGCAGATGCACACACTTCTGGAGGACAGGGACAAAAATGTACGCGAGGAGAGCAAAAAGATGGTCATTGAGATGTATAGGTGGATTCGACAGGCCCTCAAACCACAGATGTCTTCCTTGAAACCTGTGCAGGTCTGGTTTGAATCCTTGTATCTCTAATTTGTGTTTGTTGTTGGTGAAAGTTTTTTCACAGCTTGGTTTGAAGTAGCTTGACCTATTTAAAAAATGTAATGATAATCTGACCAACAGATCCAAGAATTGGAAGCAGAATTTGACAAGCTTGGCAATGAGAAGGTGGTCCAGACACGCTTCCTTCGTTCACAGCAGGACCTAAAGGCTAAAATGGAAGCTCAAGGAGATGAAGAGGAAGAGGAAGGTATGTAAAGAAAATCTTGCTTTGGACTATATTATGTAGGATGTTTTATTATGATTGTAGCATTATAAGATGCTCTTTGTAAGCACTTGTACAACCTCGTTTACTTAGCAAAAATAGGGTACCACTTTGTTCTGTTCCTTATTTCCCTCATGTGGACTATTTTACATGAACTTCTCTCCTTTCCACCCCTCTTTCTCATGGTAATTGCAGTAAATTGTTTAGCGGTTTCTTGTTCTCTACGAGACATTTTTCCTTCCAACAGATTTCCAGATTTTTTTCTGACCCTACTTCTACCTTCTTACCTTTATCCTTTATATCCCACATTATCTGTTTCTCTTGCAGTCATAATTTATCAACATTTGAGTGGATCAGGGAATACAGGCATTGAATCTAAAGGCAAAAATCAGGCAAATATTCATCTTGCAATATATATGAAGCCTTGGCATGTGTCTTTGGAAAAAAGTCACCCAGGTCTGTTTATTCATAAAACTAAATCCTGGCTTTGTTATGATAAAAAAGGAAAAGAAAAAAAATAATGCACAGCAATAGTGATGTCACATAGTTATCATAAACACCTTAGAAATTTCTGATTTTATGATTGATAGTTGCACAGTGACATGTATAGCCTACATTTCCATTAGAAAATAGTGGTCAGTTGCACTTCCTTATATTTTGCCTCGGCTCTTGTAGTTCAGTGAAGTCGCCTTGCCAGAAACAGCATGGTTTTTATTTCTTTTACAGTTGTAGGTTTTGTACATTGCACTTTAAGTGATCATTGTATACTTTTCATAGGGGGAATTCCTTATGAAGTGGGGAAGTGAAGATGCTGCAGTGTATTTTGGGAGACATAGAGATACTGTATTGAATCAAACAACTTTCAATGTTTTTGTTGGTTTATTTACATAGTTCTGGATAGGTAGCCAGGATATAAGATTTGGTTTCCATTAATTTTATAATTTTGTTAGTATTATTATTATTTATTTTATTTTTTTTTTTTTTTTGCAAATTTTATATATATATATATATATATATATATATATATATATTATAATATATAATATATATAATATATATAATATATATATATATATAATATACATAGTACACACACACAACACACACACACATACACACATACACACACACACACAACACACACACACACACACACACACACACACACACACACACACACACACACACACACACACACACACACACACACACACACACACACACGTGTGTGTGTGTGTGTATGCGCGCACTTGTGTTATGTGTATGTATATATATATATATATATATGATTATGATATAGCATGATTTTGCTTTCCTTGTGTCCTTGTCTTCGATAGTTGTTTATTTTTTTATAATTATATTCATTAAAGGATAAGCGTAGCACAGTTGCAATAGTTTTTAGGACAGATTTAAGGGAGAGAGCTGAATTAGAGGCAGCATTCCTGCCTCATATATTTATTTATCTCTTTATTATTTTACATGTCTAGAAAAATTGTGGATGATAAATCTTTTATTTAGAAGCACTCGTGTCTTTTTTGCAGATGAAGAAGTAGAGCCAGATGCCCCAGAACTGGATCCATTCGAATTCATGGAGCCAGTCGACATCCTCTCAAAACTTCCAAAAGATTTCTATGAAAAGGTCTTGCTGTTTAATTTTTTCTTAGTCTGCATTCTTGTATTACCAGTGTGTTTATTGTGTATATGATAACTGTTTAATGCCATAGAAGATTAAGAGGTGATTATATTAATCCAACTTGCAATTTAAAAATTTGGTATTTTAGGCTGAAGCTACGAAATGGAAGGATCGTAAAGAAGCAGTAGACCTTCTCCTGCCGCTGACCCAGAATCCAAAATTAGAGAGTGGAGATTACCATGATCTTATGAAGGTTCTTAAAAAGGTGAGTTGTTAGCATAAATACTCCAATGCACAAAGCTAATATAGTGTCAATATCGATAGCATTGGTGAAAAGGCATTAGTGAAGGGGGAAACGTACATGCCATTTCCCATTGTGTGCGTTGAATTTGGTAATTGTTTTTACATATAGATGGCTCTACTGTCACCAATGAGCCAATTATGTGAACTACCTGTCTCACCTGTTTACTCTTTTCTTTGATTTTCGATAATATTTCCTAATATTTAATACATCTGTAATTTATGTCAGTAACATTATAGTAATTATAATATTTAGAACAAAATATAGTGTCAATATCGATAGCATTAGTGAAAAGGCTTTTTCCCACTTTTTCAAGGAAAAGTTAGGTTGTAAGATCTACCAATTGACTCCTTTGTGGCTAAGCATTGGCAGAGCCATCTATGTTCAGAAACATATAACCAAGTATTGCCAAAGGAAATGCACGATTTTCCCATTGACATTGGGTTGATGAGATTATCTTCACAGTCTGAACATTGTTGTTCTCATCCAAACTTGTTATTAGCTGAATATCTTGTATATGACCCACTTTAATTCAGAGGATTATTGTAAATCTTGCCTGTTCCATTTATAACTCCATATGAATTCACTGCTAAGAACTGATTTTTCTTTGGTTTATGATTTATAACAATATTTGTGTATATGACACATGAAATTTGGCTTTTCTAGTGAAGAATTTTTGCTTTAATTATAATTTTTACTTTTTTTCTGTCTTTCTTTCTTTCTATCTATCCCCCTCTCATTTCTCTTTGTGAATAATACATTTATTTATCCATTCTGACATCAGATCATTGGGAAGGACAGCAATGTAATGATCGTAGCAGTGGCTGCCCAGTGCTTGACAGGATTGGCCAAGGGTTTGAAGAAAAAGTTTTCGCCTTTTGCCTTATCCTTCACAGAGACCATCTTAGAGAAATTCAAAGAGAAGAAGGTCAATGTTGTCTCAGCTCTCAGGGATGCCATTGATGCTGTTTTCCAGGCGGTAAGTTACCTTTTGGTTTATTCCTGTTTGTCATGCTTGGTATTGTTGATCTGTTGTTTAATGAACATTTAGCTCTAGTAAGGGCACTGGTGAGACCAATTGTAAAGCTATAAGTACATAAGATTCTGGATTTTTAATTTAATTTATTTTTGTTTTATTTATTATTTTTTTATTTTTTTATTTATTTTTTAAACTATTATAGTTATTTCTACAATATAGAAATGTTAGGATCATTGGTGTTTATCTTCAATTGGTGAATTTTCAAAAATGTTATTCTAGATTTTTGTATTACAAAAAGTAGGTGACAAAAATAACTCATTAGGATACCTGGAGTTGGCTGATTTTCAGACATTTTCACAAATTTTTCTTTTCTTTTTCTTTGGCGTCTTAGTATGTCATGCTGTGTGCCATTCTGTTATTTGATAGGACATCATGTGGCAGTTCTAAATGGATGTTACCAGTAAAAAGAAATAAGCATCCAGAAGTTTCCTGTGTTCCTGTTATTTTTAGGTCTTAAATTTGTATGTGTTAGTACAGGGGTTTTATTTTGTGGTGCTACTCACATGCCTCAATTTTGGTCACATTTGGATAAGAGGAATTATAGAGTTGTCAATATATTATTTGTAATGTGTTTGTAACATTTCAGAGAAATTTGTTGTTGATTATTGATTTTAATTGACAGACTAATATTGAAGCTATCCAAGAGACTGTTAGTGGTGCTTTGGCAAACAAGAATCCTCAAGTGAAGGCAGAGACTGCGGCTTTCTTGTCACGGGCGTTTTGTTACTGCACACCAACAGTCTTTAATAAGAAGCTGTTGAAAGTATATATTACAGATCTTGTAAAAACACTCAATGAATCAGGTATTGTGAAAAAGATGATGATTTTGATTTAGATGTAAAATTTGTTTTTGTATTGAATGTTTGTAATTTTATGGATGATTTAGTTCACAAAATGTTATTTCCCATCATATAAGTAGGAGATGTTTTCCCTATTATATTGTTGATTTGCCATTGTGACCTACATACATGCTATGGCATGACTGGACTCCTCATAAGGCCTTTCTAAGTTTTGTACCCTAAGTAGTAGCTTGCCTGTTTGGCCATTACTGCTTTGATTGCAGAGCTACATTATCTCAAAAGTAGGCTCAGAGTCACTTATTTGGACATTTATTGGAAATTGGTATATGATGCAACAAAAATGAAGGAAGTAAGGGAAATTACATGTTTCCCATACTTCTTACTTTTGCATCAAGTGGCTGACTGGCACAGTCCCTGAGTGGATGTCCAGGATTGTCCATGACACTCATGTTGGCACTGGGTTAAGATTGAGTAATGTTTCATATAAAATACTGATTGTATTGTTTATGATGTAATATCTAATTGTTTTATATATCATAGTAGCATAGTATTAGTAGAAGTAGTATAAATATAACTATTTGCATTTGCAGATCCAACTGTCCGTGATAATTCAGCTATGGCTCTTGGTGTAATGTTGAAAGTTGTTGGTGAGAAGCAGTTGATGGTATTCATTGGAGAAGTGGAAAATCTAAAGATGCAGAAGGTAAGGCATAGGTATACTAAAATTAGATTCATACATAAAATAACTCTTCCATGTCTTCAGTCAAACCTAATTCCAAAATTTTTTTGTGTAACAGATTAAAGAAGCAGCAGACAAAGCTGAGCTGAAGGTCAAAATCTCGGCACCCAAGGCAAAGAAACCAGCACCAAAGAAAGAGGCACCTCCACCGGCAGCTGAGCCTCCCCCTTCAACCACAGCTCCACCGAAGAAAGTTATAAAAGCTGGCGTCAAACCAGGAGCCTCGTCAGCAGGGCCGGCCAAAGGGAAAAAACGTAAGTAGATAGCTGGTCTCTGTTATTTTGTGATATTTCTTATTGATTAATTTCAGAGGATAAAGCAAACTGTATAAAGAGCAGTAAGGGAAGAAGAGAGTATTATTTTTATTATAAATTTATTCTTTGTAAATATCAGGTTTAAAAGGAGGAGGTGGAGGTGGTGGTGGTGGAGCAGGAGGTGGAGTCCTAGAGGAATGCACAGAAGCAGAACTTTCAATAGAAGATGCTGTTGAGAAAGCGAGTGAAGTCCTGCCTGAGGATGTTGTCAGTGGAGTTACGGATGCCAATTGGAAGACCAGATTGGCTGCTGTTGAATCCTTTGGTAATGTAAGTATTTTCTGAAGTGGATATGGCTGAGTTTTGTCATTGATTTGAATAAATTTTACCTATTATTATTATTATTATTACTTTTGAAACCACATTTAGAAATTTTTGTATTTTGATTTTTTTTTTAAATACTGTATCATAAAATTAGTTTTCTACTTTCCTTATTTTTTAATGTCCTTTTCACTATCTTTAAACTTATTTATATTGAAGTAGATATGATGAACTTTCTCTTGAGATCCAAATATATTAATGAAATATTTCTTGTTTATCAGACTATCCAGACGCTTGACCGGAGTGAAATCCCATGCCAAGCATTAGTAAGAGTTCTGGCACAAAAGCCAGGCTTCAAGGACAACAATTTCCAGGTTCTTAAACTCAGACTAGAAGCTCTCAAAAACCTAGCTGAGAACTCGGACTTTACCCGGTAACAATTGCTTGAACTCTGTACTGTGTATGATTTTTATTATTGAATAGATTTATGGTAGAGGAATTTGATAAATGTATTATGGGGGGCTTTTAAATTATAATACAGAAGTGCTTTAAAAGGAGTGTTGTACATAAAGTTTTGAGATATTGTAAAATATATAGTTGATTTCTTCTATTTTGCAATTTTAGACGCTCTGGAGAAGTATGCATCCAAGACCTTGTAGAGAAACTAGGTGATCCAAAGAATGGTTCTTTGTGTGGAGAGGTTCTGATGACCATAGCAGAGGCTGCCAAGCTACAGTGGGTTGGGCCTGAGGTTATGACTAGAGCCTTTGAACAGAAGAGTCCAAAGATTCAGGAAATGGCACTGAAGTGGTTATCAGATGCCATCACAGATTTTGGATTTGTGTAAGTGACAATAAACAAAGCCATCAGATATTTAAAGGTGTTTGATAGCTTTGAGTTGGAGAAATGTCCATTTTCTAGTCTGTCATGAAATTTGTGATAAGTTAATTGTCAATTGTTATGCTATCATAAGTTTCTTTAGATGTATTTATTGTCATTATTACTTTTTCTTCATTCCAGACTGCAACCAAAAGCTCTTATTGGTGACATTAAGAAGGCCTTAGCACATACCAACCCTGGTGTGAGAACAGCCGGAATCTCCCTCTGTGGTACAATATACCTTTACATGGGAGCTACACTCAGGGTCTTCTTTGAGGATGAGAAGCCAGCTCTTTTGCAGCAAATTGATTCAGAATTTGAGAAGGTAGGTTTCAGAGACAGAATGAAAGATGAAAGGCATTGAACTGATGTACAAGCAAGTTAGAATTGAATTGTGGATGAGAACTTCACTAATCAGTCTGTATAAAGAAGAATGATTGAAGAGGAAGTGACTGTTATTAAAGTGTTCAGGAGTATTTATCTCTGATATATGGGATGGAGGAATCTATGATTTCTTGATTTTTTGGTATATTTGTTCACTCGGCATTTATACTGCAGATGAATGGCACAAGTCCTCCAGCTCCTACAAGAGGCCTTAATCGGGGCAGCAGTACAGAAAACGATGATGATGCTGATGATGTTGATTCAGGACCAGCTGTCATTAACGTTCAAGATCTTGTACCCCGAACTAATATCAGCGATCAGCTAACATCTACACTCTTTACAGAATTGGCTGATAAAAATTGGAAGGTAATTATTGGTCTAGTATTTTCTTGTTGTAGAAGTTAGAATGGTTAAAATGTATGTTTGAGCTTGAAATGTCTTCTTTTATTTGCTGACAAATTCAAATATTTTCTTTTTTTATTTCTGTAGGTGAGAAATGAAGCCCTACAGAAGGTTTCCAACATTATCTCAGAGGCCAAATTTATTAAGGGTGACATTAGTGAACTACCTACTGCTCTGTGTGCTCGAATGATGGACACTAACAAAAATTTAGCTCTGGAAGCGCTGAGATTAACTGCATCTCTCTCTGCTGCGCTTGGACCAAATTGCAAGCCTCATACAAGGAACATTGTGCCAGGAATGTTAGCTGCTCTTGGAGACAGCAAGGTCAGTTACCTTTTCCTTTTAGAGTGAGTTAAGTATTTGTTTACATGTATGGACTACTAATTTAGGTTTCTGCAGTATGACATATGGTATCAACATAGCCTTGTATAAATTTCAGGAAAGTTTTGTTGGATTTCCAAAGTAACATTGAAATTGCCATATATTTGCTATTCATTGATTCCTCTCTCTCTCTCCCAAACAGCAAAATATTCGTCAGCAGGCATTAAGCACTCTTAACTCATGGGTGGAACAAACAGGTCTGAAAGAAACGGTTGATGGTGAAGTATTTGCTGATGCCTTGAAATCTGGCTCTCCCTTCCTGAAGTCTGAGCTGTTCTTGTGGATGGCAGAGAAACTGAAAGATGGTGAGTCCTTTAACCCCTTTAGTCTGAGATATTGAAAAGTCACTCTTTTGGAGTTAATGATTTATTTTTAATTAATATATATTTTATTGATGATTATGATATTTGTATTTATTGTAATTTTTTTTTACTTCTGTAATTGTTATAAACATTGTTATTATTAATGTTATTGTTACTGTTATTTTTGTTATTGTTGATATTAATATTATTATTTTTTTACTTATTTATTATTAGTTTATTATTTGATTATTTTAATATGTATTATTGTGATTATTATATTATTTTATTATTATTATTATTACTTATTGTGGATGATATGATATATGTTTCCCCCTTTGAATGCAGTCATAGAGGTGAGAGATCTGAAGCAGTGAACAAAGCATGCATGGTACCTCAGCGTAAATGTCCGGAAAGGTGCTAATGAAGATTCATGATACATTTAGGATATGATGGAATGGTGAAGCAGTCCTTCTGGTATGTTTGGCAGTATTTTACTGTGCTGTGTGCTTTTGACTTTTAATCCATTACAAGGAGCTCTTGTATGATTCAGCTATGATGGCCTATTGGACTTAAGTTTGAATGGCATGGGTTGAATGAACTAACTTTGGCAAAACACTTTTTAACTTTCCCAGCCTTCATCAAAGAACACTGTGATGCAAGCTCTAGAGAAGGCTAAACCCAACCTCCCAGCTAAGCCTCAGCCCAAGCCAAAGGCAGCTGCTGGTGGAGGAACTGGCCGAGGGGCGGCAGCTGCTGCTGCAGAAAGGCCACAGGCAAGTGCCCCAGCTGCAGGCAGGGGAGCTGCTGCTGGAGTCAAAAAGGGCCTGAGGGCTCCATCGGCAACACGCACAGTGAGTATATTTAGTGTTTAGCTTCAGTAGTTTTTAGGTTGGAATATAGAAGGTTGCTCATTATAATAACTTACAGCATTTTCCTCCCCTCACCTAATCATTATGTAATTCTAATTAATTACTTCACAGTATGAGCGGTATTGGGTATGTATGATTTCTTCAGGTACAGCATGAAATTATTAAAGAGAAAAGATCATCCTGTGTTCTTAAGTAGAACTGAATATGCTGGATATTGGATAAAGATGCTAATAAGGAAAATGGAAATTGCATGAGTACTTGGATACATGTACAGCAAATGTGCTGGCACAAGAACAAAAGTGAATATGAAATTAAATATGATTAAGTAAATAAATAAGAAGTCTAACATGCAAGTCTATGATTATATATTCTCATTTTTCAAAATATTTGTGTCTGAAGGAAATTATATGAAATCTATCCTTCGGACTACTATGCAAGTAATAAAAATAGTTTTTTTAAGGTCAATAAGCCATGCCACAAGTGCCCAGATCTTATTTCCGAAGTTTTCATTGCTTTTGAGGATTTTTAAAAGTCCGCATGAAGTGTCTGTCTTTTGTTTAGTTGTTCATTAACCTGCACCACAACAGTAGTTGATGAAAACTGATGCACCAATATAAGGAAAGAAAACTGCAGGACTCTTGTATTCAGTTGTTTATTTTGTTAGTGGAAATTCTTATATAAGATGGAAAACCTGATCTTCGTAGTATGATACAAAAGGTAATATTGAAGAATGACCTTTAAAAAGTTGTATGTTTTGAGTAATTCTAGGTTCTCAAATAGCATGAATAGCTGTAGGAGGATTTTTTGCATCATACACATTATTTCTCAATTTTTGTATAGTTCCCCCCCTTTGTTTTCAAACTCCATAAATATTTTGCTTGTTATTTTACTGGATGTCCCTTATTGAATATTCATTTTATCTATACATTTTTTTCACTCATGCACTCAACTATAGATGAAAGTTGAGCTTGTCTTCAATTGGCTGTCAAGCCTGAGGAAGGAAAGCTATAAGAAAATTTAGTGATTACTGGCACTGGCTATTGCATGTTGACAATGAATTAGGTGTGACTAGATTTCCCCGCTTACACCTGGACCAACATTGAGCTTACTTAATTATAATTGGAACTCTAAAATGGTTATTATTTGAAGTGAATATCTGAATTAGAGTACATATGGCTAAAAACGAATATGATAAAAAGATATGAAATATGTGTTTGCATATTCTTTGGTCTTGTTACCATTGTTCCTAAGCGAAGGATTTATATTTTTAATAATAGTTAAAGCGATTATGCAAGCTTAAAAGGAGGAGTAGGTGACAGTGGTATTGAAATGTTAAAAAGTTGCTCACAAGAAGGTAAATAAAGCATGTTATAAACTCATATAAAAATTACACACATTTTTAGGGTTCTGGATCAAGTCGCAAAGACCAGGAAGAGGTCGACACATCGCCACTCCTCCAGGTGAATAACCTAAAGCAGCAGCGTGCTTCAGATGAGCAGAGGCTTAGGGTCCTGCGCTGGGACTTCACAACCCCTCGGCAGGAGTTCATCACCCAATTGAAGGATCAGATGACGGCAGCAGGACTTAACAGACAGCTGATGTCAAATATGTTCCATCAGGATTTCAAATTCCATATCAAGGCTATTGATGCTTTGAATGAGGTATGTATGTTTTTCATTTCTGTTTTATGTGTATTTGTAGATCAATATTTTCATGTGGGAGGAAATATCGTGTTTTAAAAACGGCTTTTATGAATGTAAGATGACAATGGCTTCTTGAACCTTACCAAGACATTTGACACTAGCTGATTAAGTGAAATATTAGAAGCACAAGAAACTTGAATTTACATTACTCTATATGCATTTAGCTGTGGCTTGTACAATTTTTTAGGAAATGATTTTAAAAGCAGGCTTAATTTTCTGAAAATCAAGAAAAAGTAAACTGTTAAGAGACAGTATTTATATTTGACTCTGGTGAGTAATTGCTTGTAGAGCCATCTCTGTGTAAATACAATTAGTAAATTAATAATAAACTTTTTGAGTTATGGTTAATGGATTTTATACTTCTGCCAGGACCTCAACTCAAACCTCCCAGCTTGCATCGCCAATCTGGATTTGGTATTGAAGTGGTTAACTATCCGGTTCTTCGACACTAACCCATCGGTGATCATGAAGGCGATGGATTACCTGCAGCAGGTGTTCCAGTGTGTGTCAGAAGAAGGCTATCACCTCCTGGACCTTGAAGCTTATTCCTTCCTGCCTTTCTTAGTTACCAAGGTTTGTGCTTCCTATTATTTTATGCCAAGGCATGAGAAACTTTACATTGTAAGAGGGAAAGAAAAGTACTTTTTAATAAATTCTCCTTTTTTTTTTTTTTTTTTTTTTTTTTTTTTTTTTTCCCATTGGTTGGAACCAAAGTTGGGTCAAATCACTGGAAAAATAACATCCTGGGTGTGCAGTGTGTAGGCTGGGTGCACATGAATACACATGAGCGGTGACAAGACTGTGCCTCCCCTGTGTGCAAGATTTTAAAACTTATTTTCCATATTGCATTTGTCATCCAGAGTTATTTTCCTTGCACAGAGTCCATATCGTATCTCTCTGTAGTCACTTTACATTCCACATTCGTTTATTGATGGGAATAATGTTAAAGCCCCCTTCTAAGCACCAAATCAGTCAAATCACACTCCCAAAAGGTTTTTCCACTCTTGGTGAGTCTTTTTTGTCACCCTGGCCTTCGCTCATGACGGCTAGTTCGTGTCACCTGGGCCGCGGCCAATTTGCCCGATGATAGCATGTTCATGTCACCCACCCCATGACTAAATTTTTTTTATGACGTGACCACAACGTCATTTGGATCCATGGGATCCATTGGGTTAACTGTTGAAGATAGTAATGATATTTTTATTACAGTTTGGTGACCCTAAGGATGCTATTAGAGGACCTGCAAGAAATATTGCTAAGTTGATTTGCAATATATACCCAGCTAGCAAAGTATCTCCATACATGATGGATGGTCTTAAAGCAAAGAATGCAAGGCAGAGAGCAGGTGAGTGAAATGAAAGGTTGATGTTTCTTCTCTGCATTGCTTTTGATGCCCAACACATTAAATTAGCTTTCTGAAAGATGTCTTCATAAGGCTTTTAACTTACAGAATGCTTGGAGGCCATGGGCAACTTGATAGAAGTGTATGGAATGTCAGTGTGTCAACCATCTCCTGGTGTAGCACTGAAAGAAATAGCCAAACAGATTGCTGATAGATAAACTCCTCAGAAAGCTGTGGTGCAGGTGTATTCCGTGAAGGTGAAAAGGTTTTCAAACTCGTTGGAAATGTAAGTTGAATTTTTTGTAAAGACTGTGTCTGTGTAGTACTTTCAGGTACTAAAGAATTTAATACCAGATATATGTTATGATGACTTACATGATCATACATAATCTTTTGTGGGGGGGGGGTGAGAGTGAGAGAGTGAGTGCCTGTGTGTGTGTGGCGTGTATGTGTGTGTGCATGAGTGTCTGTGTGTATATGTGTGAGAGTGAGTGCTTCTATGTTTGTATGTGTGTGTGATTGTGTGTATTTATATTCATTCATTCTATGATATATATTATATTCCATATATGTATGTGTGCATATATATATATATATGTATATTAGATATAGATATTATATGTATATGTATATATTTGTATGTGCATATATACATATATGTATTTATATATGAATATATGTGTGTATGTATATTATTATTATTATAGTAGGCTATATAAAGAGCCACACTGAAAAAATCAAGATTTATACCACCAAAGGTGTCAGTGCAGGTCAAGATACAGCTAAGAAAGAATGAAAGAATAGAAAGTCAGCTATTTATGTAAGAAAAACATGTTAGTTGATCTTTTAAACTTATCAAGTGTCGGAGAAGTTACAATCTCTGAAGGCAATCTATTCCAATCTACAAATAGCAGTAAAAAAGCATCTAGAAAACTGACTTGTAGACTATCAACTTACATGAAATGTCATTGAACTACTGGTAATTCTTGCAGATTGATAAAAATCAGGTAAAAACTTGTAGAGGGGAATGTATATATATTTTTATGTGTATAAATATTTGCATATATATATGTATGTGTATATATACATGTATATGTGTATATATATATATATACATATATATGTATATATATAATATATATTATATATTATATTATATATATATATATATATGTGTGTGTGTGTTGTGTTGTGTGTGTGTGTGTGTGTGTGTGTGTGTGTGTGTGTGTGTACGTACACATTTTATATATATATATATATACATATATACACCTCATATATACAAAGATACATAGAGATAGATAGATAGGTCTGGACATTGGCATGATTTGCCTACCTGCCTACATGTGTGTGTGTGTGTGTGTGTGTGTGTGATGTTTATTTGTTTATTTGATTATATGTTTTCCTTTCTTTTCCTAGGTTCAGGTTATGTTTCGCATTTTTATTGTTATGAATATTAGCCTTTTTCTTGATGTTTATTGTTTAATTGGTACTTAAACATGCATATGATATATATATATTTATATGCATATATATCTTCCCTCTAGCTGTCAGACAAGGATATGAGTTTACTTGAAGAGCGCATCAAACGTGCTGCCAAGAACAGACCGGTTATTAAGAAGCCACCTGTCGAACCAGAAGTGCCCACTGTCAGAGGTGGTGGAGCAAGTGGTCGAGCTAATCGTGTCATCCCAACCCCAGCTCAGCCAGCGCCAGTGATTACAAGAGAGAGAGAAGGTGCTGATGGAGCAACTGGAGGAGAACAGAGCAGTCTTCTAAAGAGGTTTGTTTCATTTTTCTAATAGTGGCAGCTGCTTTCATCCTTTGATCAAGCATTATGGTTAGATATAAATGAATTAGATTTTTATATTAAATTTTCTAAGTTGGTGATATAGTGAGAGAGTCCATGTTAAGGAGACAAAAGTACTTCATTGCAAATTTTTTACATCAGCCATTGAGATTTTCAAATCTGTTGTAAATATTATTGTCCAAAGCTTTTCTTTTCTTTCTTTCTTTCTTTTCTTTTTTTATTTTTATTGATTGCTTTAAAGATGGTTAGCATTCATTAATGTTATTTGAACAATGGTACTGAAGAATGCAGAGGGATCCCAGCTGGAGTCTAGAGTCAGTAGATAGAAGCCAGGAAGACCTAAATTGGTCACCTCTTGTACACCACAAACCACCTCGCTATGCATCAGCTGCCGCTATGAGTAGCATAAGCAGCCTCAGTAGCATGAGTAACCTAAGTATGGGCAGCATAAACAACTCCAGTTCCAATATGACGGTCAACAAGCGTCCGAACAAGCCTATGAGTAGCCGACTGAATGGAGACTGGCCACTGCCTCCCTTGCGAACACGACCTGTTAGCACAGTGACGCTGGAACATGCAAGACGCATTTCCCGTTCACTCTCATTTGTTTTGGGCGAACCTGATGAAGACAGTCAGATAGAAGAGAAATCCTCTACACGCAAGGGAGCCTCTCATACACTGCCTCCTCTTTCGCCTGACATGCCTCCTCTTCTCACAAGAACTGTCACTTCACCTCACTTCTCTGGGCAAGCACAGAGTGGATTTCTGATTTGGACTTCTCATCTCCCTCACTCCCTTTTTAAAGCTAACACTCTTGTTTTCATTAATTGTGTGGTTGACCATTATTTATTTTTTATTGCATTGCCATGATGAATGCAGTGTTATAAAACATAGTTTTTTTTTGTGAACAGCAGTAAAGCCCTAGAAACACACTGGGCTACTTGGTAGTTTCACATGCCGAGTGGCATGATTTTATTTTATTTTTAGCATAGACTGATTAAAAGTATGTGTGAGACTGATATCATGTTAAAGAACCCTAAGTGAATATTATAAACAAAGACAAGGTAACTAAATGATGTTATGATTAAAAATTATGTTGAGGTAATCACATGGGATTCTTATGGATGTGTGATTTCTTTGGTGATCATTCCAGTGTAGGAAATAAAATGTGAAAGCAGTTTTAGCTTTTTGCCATTTTCCAATGGCCATATTTGTTGTTTGATTTGCTTTATCCATATGGTAATAGATTGTTTTCCTTGCCCAGACTCCATATCATCTCTGAGTCTAGAACTCAGTCCCAAGAATAACAACGATAGGTGACATTGTTATTTTTGTATAATATTTAATTTTCTGTAATATAATGTTCATCACCAGCCATGGTGGCTAGCAGTAGGGTTCTGAGCATGGAAATGGCATCCTCCATGGAGCTGGACTCTTCCTGTCATGGCTCATGGACACTGCATTTCACACTTGTTTATCAATGGAAATAATGCAAAATCCACTATGTAAACACCAAATGACTAATTGCTCTCCAAGAGGTTTGTGCACTTGTGGCAGGTCTTTCCTGTCACCCTGTCCTTTAGCAGAAATGCTCACAACAGCAAGTTCGCATCAGCCCTACCAAAGCCAGGTTTTCCCATGATGGCACATCATTTGATGAAGGGTAGGTTTAAAACCTGTAGAATGTAATCAAAGCCAGGTTTTCCCATGATGGCACATCATCTGGATTGAAGGGGTTAATAGGTCCTTAGTAACCTGGAAAATGTATTTGGAGATGAAAAAATATAAAAATCTTTTTCCTTTTCATCACTTCATTTTGCTGTTTATGTTTCCATTGTTAACATGTGATATTTTGTATCATGCCTTTATTTCTGTCATTTCTAACAGTAGAAAAAAGTGGTCTTTTTTGGCAGTGGAAATGGTTAAAGAATGGATTGTACTTTACTATATCCTTTTTAAAGGAAGAAAATGTATTGTAGCCGATGTGATGGTGGATGTATGATTAGTATTGATAGATAAAAGCTTTATAATTTTATAGATCACATCTAGCACACGGAGAGAGCTGAGGATATGCTTGTGATAAATAGTCTTTAAAATTATAGCTTGTTTAGCTTTTTAAGGCCTAATTAGATAGCTCCAAAGATATTCTCGGTTTCAGTACTAACAGTGTGATAAGATTTGTGTTCTTTTATGATAATGTTATGTTTAGAATTATATTACTTTCCTTGTCTTTTCTGTAATTTATAAGATAGCATTCACAAAAGATAAATATGTTGGTACTGAGAATAGATAAGATTTTACGTTAGGGAAAGTGTGCCCTTAACCATTGCAAGTAAATGACCAAACAAGTTTTTCAGCAGATTTGGAATGCGAAACCAGCAGCAGCAGCAATCAAGTGCGAATGCAAATGCACCGTTCAAGATCGATTATGGTCTCATAGAAAAACTGCTTGAGGACAATGACACCACAGAAAGACCCCAATACAAGATTGAGGAAATCCCTGATATGAACTCGTTACTCAACTACAAACCAGTCTGCCCAACTCCAGCCTCCAGGTAGAGAATTGACAGTTTCAGCAATTGGATTAGAATTTTGATGGGAAAGGAGGGAGAAGTTTACTTTCGTAAACAATGATGTGTATTTGTTTTTATACATGTCTGCAAGGGGTGTATTTTGCATAAATCCATATGCCATTATGATGATACTGGTTGCCTTAATTGTTACTAATGATATTGATATTCTTCTAGACTCACCAGACCAGGATTCACTGCAACCTCACGGCCAGTGTCTTCAGGAGCACAGATTGACACTGAAGGTGCTGCTCAAGCAATTAATCTGGTTATATCACAGGTATGTTTACTCATGGCTTTAGCTTTTATTTTCTATTGATAATGAATATTCTGTTGATGGATCTGTTAATGCTGCTTCTTTATCATATGTAATGGTTAATAGTTGAAACAAACAAATGTGCTAGACATCTAAGGTCATATAGCTCTATATCATCTGTAATCTAAGCATTTGTTTGCATGTATATGTTTATTCATGTGATAAAATCAGTATTAGAAAATGCTAATGTTTGTGTATTCATCACAAAGACTCAGATGAAAAATTTGTATAGCCACCTTTCTTGGACTTACAACTCTACATTTTTTCAATAACAGGTCGCCACCCCAGATGCCAATACTGTTATCACGGCTCTGTCTCAGCTGGATGAGGTCCTGCAGTCGGAGGAGAGAAGTACCCAGCTGGCTCCACACATTGACCAGCTGTTGATTCTGGCCACTCTCCAGTACCGTCTTGTCCTAAACACCAAAATGGCCAACCCCAATGTGAACAAAGAGGAGTGCATCAAAATATACCGCTCTCTAACTAACTGTTTGATGATGGTAGGAACTTGTGTTAATCTTGCATGGATGAATAGTTTTGTTGTGCCATGTATTTAGTGTTTTTCTAACAGTTTGTAAATGGAAGTCTAATTGACAGAATTCTTTTGATGACATGCACTTTGCTTGACAGATCTTCAATAACAAGCAACTGGGAACCCAAGCTACACGAGATGTTCTCCGGGATGTGGTCCATGTTTTGATTAACATCTTGTTAGATCCTCGTCTAGCACAGCTGGAGGATGGTCCACAGATCATTCGAGCAATCAATGTACTTGTTGTACGCATTGTGGAGAAAGCACAATTTACTCATGTATTTAGGTCAGTATAATAAAGTATAAAACAAATTAAAAGCATAAGTATGGTATTTTTAGCAATTTTTAATTTTGATCATATACAAAGAAGTAGACAACTTAATTTCTAGCTAATTTTGATATGTTTTGCTTTGCCAGTGCCCTTCTCAAGCTTCTACATGAGAGTGTGGGAAGTGGAGGAGGGTGCAAGTTCACAGAACTTGTGATGAAGTGTAACTGGAAGGTTATTCGCATTCTGCCAACACGCTCCAATGACCTAGATCTTGACCAGATTCTCCTGGATGTTCACAATTTCCTTGTGGTGAGTATTTTTCATGATACTGAATCTCAAATAAGTAAAGAAGCAAAATATTTCAATATCAGTCATGTGGTAATATTAATAGTATATTAATCTCAAAATAGTATAAAAAGTAAAATGAGAGATTTCTAAGATGTGCTTGGATTTAGTGTATTTTTCTTCAAGAATGCAAGTTATGTTAATTTACACAAGTGAGCATATGCTAAATAGAAAATTTTTTCCCCATTAGGCTTATCCAGTCAACACCTGGGCAGAGCGGCCATCAGATACTCCTTTGCGCACCATTAAGACTGTTATTCATACATTATGTAAGGTATATGGCACGAACATCCTCAGTCACTTCTCCAAAATTGAAAATGCTCAAGGCTCGGAACTCCACAAGTACCTCACAAAGACGCTGAAGGTGAGTGTTATGTATGTAATAAGTAATGTTTAATGAATATACTGTTTCATTTAAGGTAATGACATCATAAGCTATTATTACTGCTAAGTTTGAGGCTTTTACACTTTTTTCTTTCTTTCTGTGTTTTTTTTTTTCTTTGTCTTCAATATATTTCATCCTCCTATCCTGCTTTCTCTACGTTCTTCAACCACCAACTCCCATAAAACAGGGTTGCATTTTCTCTTTGTAATCTGTCCTCTTTTTTCTCTGACCCAGAAACCGAAGACTGAAGATGATGGAGGTGTTGGAGACAGTAACAGACTAGCAGCTGCTCAAGTCACGAGTGATTCAGCAGAAAGTGTAAAATCCCCGAAGAGATTAAGCAAAACAGCTCACAACACACTATCCGAAATATTCCGCAAAATTGGCTCAAAGGAGAACACAAAAGAGGTAGCGATCTCCATCTTTGTTGTATAACCGCATTTTTTCTCTCTCATAGGAGGAATTTAGCACTGAGTGCCTCTATGTGTATTAATTATTGTAAATAGTCTTAAATTTTATAGAAATAAAGATTCATATTGCTGTGTAATTATTTGTTAAATTGATTTCATTTATTTATTTTTACTCTTTTTTTTATTTATTTATTTATCATTTTCTTTCAGGGCTTGATTCAGTTGTATGAATTCAAGCAGAAGCATCCAGAGGCAGACATTGAACCCTTCTTGAGAAAGTCATCACAGTTCTTCCAGAACTACATAGAAAGAGGACTGAAGAGAGTGGAGATGGAGCGGCAAGCAGAAGGAAAAGTGGCTGCCAGTCAGGCTTCAGAAAATGGGTCAAATTCAGGTAGCATATTGATGGCTGTTGGATTATGATTCTGGTAAAATGTGATACTTCACTTACACCTTTCATGATATTGGGGATTATTCCTCTTTCTTCTCCTCCTTTTTTTTATATTTATGATTTTGTTCTACAGTGTTAATCTATGTGGAAGATTTTATATGATTTGAGTAGTGCTGCTTAGTGAACAAAATGAAGTGAAAGAATGGGTCTGTGTTTACAATATCATCTCCCTAAAATCCAGAACCAAGATCAACATTACTTTCTGTGTTTAAAATATTGAAATAAATTGGCTTTATTCAGGATTTGTATTTAAATATCTAATACTAAAGAGTATGTCGTATGAAGAAAATGTATTTGGAATTATCACATTTTTAGACCTTTAAAAATCTACGTAGTATTAGTAAATTTGTTTCCCTTGTTTTAGTACTTTGATGTGCATGTGTAATACCCCCTACCGTACCACAAATGGGATTAGTTGCATTGTAATAGCTTAGAAGCTCTCCCTTTTTGATTAGAACTCCTTTTTCCCCATTCATGAATTTTTGCCATGATAATTTTGATAATACCTATTTTCCCTTAGCAGGACCCTTGGCTTCCATCCAAGTACCAGACACAGCCAACTTCAACATGAATGAGCTTGTAGCTCAATTCAAGTCTATTGCTGCCCGCGCCGGCTTTGACAACACCTACATTGATACTGCGGTCAAGGATATATGTAGTGCTGAAAATAAGGGCTCAGGTGAACGACTTGACATCTCAGAATATATCAAGACTTTGTCATCTGACTATGGAATAGAACAGAACAAGGAACAGTTCAGTTCTCATGATCAGTGAGCAGTTGGTGTCTTTTAGTTCTAGCACAAAAAAAAAAAAAAATGGGAAAGAAAAAGGAACTGCTGGAAAATGACGGCTTTTGAATACCTTCCACCTTTTTTTAATTTTATACCATCTCTCTGTTTTTTATTTGTTTCTTTCTGAATTTATTTATTATGATCATTTTCATTACTACTACTCAATATAAACAACTTACACTTTAATTCTTTTAAAGTGGTTTAGAAAAATTTGCTGAACCCCGATGAATGACTGTGACACTGTTAGGTTAAGGCCCAGTAAATCTATGACAGGATAAGGATTTTTACATGAACAATTGCGAGAGATGGAGTAATAACACCTTTTTACTGTGTATTTTCTTTTAAAATGAGGAATGGATCACTTCTTAATTCATGGTGCATATATTACAAAAGTTATCTGCAGACACTCAAATGCATGTAGTTTAATTCCTTGGGACTGCATGTTTTCATTCCATCTCGTACTTGTTCATGCTATGTTCAAGTTATTTATGGCTAGCTGTTCAAAGACATGGAAATTAGCGAACAAATTTTTTTCTTGTGTAACAATAAGTTTTGAGGTAAAAGATGATCCACAGAGATGGTTTATTCTCCCAAAGAATCTTTATACATACACATATATATATATCTGTGGCTGCTTTAGTTGGTAATCTGATCTAGGAACCCAGTGATTAATTATATTCTTATTGTTAGGTTGGTTAAAAAAAAAACTATATATATGATTATATCTTCCATATTAATCTGTCTCTTTCACAAAATACTTGCACAGCCTTTATGTGATTCTAGAAAATCAACTATTGAATTACCACAGCTGCGCATGTAAGTGGTATATTCAGACAAGAACTCTTCCATATATATATAAATATATACATATATGTCAGATACTCAACTCCTCAATACTAGAAAGATCTGTGATCTCATGAACTGAGTCAGAACATTGAATCTACACTATTGCAGATTTGCAGTATTTACGCACTTCAGTCCCTTTCTTTTCCATCTGATATTTTGATGGTGTAATATTTGTTTCCTTCAGTACATCTCTGTCAGCTATGCTTTACCATTAATTATTTTATGAATTTTTTCAGATCATTCCATTATTACTGAAATGTTTGATTGTGTTGTATTTGAAAAAGAAAAAAATGAGCTTTGGAAATGAAACACGAGGTCCTTGCATTAGCATTCATCAAGTAGCTGCATTTTTGCAGGAAATTTCATCCATGTTCAGATTCTCCTGAACAAGTCTACAGCCTTCCCATTACTGTTTACTTTTTATTCTGAATTTTTTGTTTTATTTTCTCATACAACATTTACCTTGACCTCAAAGGAAGCTTTCGTATCACATGTAGTTTTCTTTTACATAACTTTGTTTCCTTATTTTAATAAAACATTTATAGAGCAAATTTTGTAAATATTAATTTTTAGCTACTTATTAACTTATCAGTCTATGCTAGGATTTATTGTGGATAGCTAATAGTCAATAAAAGTTAGATAAAAAGTCTGAAATTTAGTTAATATCCTGGTCAAAATGCCTACAGTTAACCAAGAAATTGAGAGAATTGTATTGATTTATGTAAGTAAACCTTATTGAGCTGATTAAAGGTTATTCATACAGATGTTGAACATCACTTTTATTCAGGAGTTTAAATCTGATGATACTTGTACAAAGTGCAAGAATATGTAAAACAAAAAAAAGGGGAGGGGATAGCAATTCTATCCCTCTTACCCCCCAATCCCTTGCCCGTTGTTGTCGTGGGGGGCTTAGGAGGGCTGAGGCCTTGGGCCTCAGCCTTCAATTCAACTGATTTTGCAGCTCTCGTTTCCGTTCCTTCTCCAACCCCTACTATCTACTTAAGGTGTATGAGCCGTGCTGAAAGGATGAAAAGCTCTTTGTGCCAGATGTGAATGGCCCGAGGGAACCATGGTCACAGTATTCCCCTGCTTTAGCTGTTTAGCCCTTACCCCTCAAGGGGATCCTGAGGGGTGGACTGCTTATTTCCCCAACATAGCCAAGACTTCCCATGGCCAGTAATGAAGAAGTAATACCCATATTAGGGGCAATGAGGCTTGCCCCTTCATCAAATAGCCCCACCAATTCAAACTCTCCCGGCTCCCCGACCCCAGGCTCTCCTTTGACCACTTCAACTACTACCCACTCCTCAATGCCTACTAGTGCATTATCCACCCAAGTCGAGACTTCTACTCTCCCAACTTCAATTTCATCACCTCTACCCCCACAGCCTTCTTCACCAATCACCTCATCTTCCCTTACTACCCTACAAATTTATTCTCCATCTCCCCATAATACAACCCCCCTCAACAATACTTCCGCTTCCACATGTCCCTGTCCTTCTACCATCCACAACTCTACCAATATTTTAAATACTCTATTTAGCCCAGCCAAATGGGACCGATTTTTCGTGATCCCCCAACAGCTCCTTACTCAGGCAACACCCTTCTCTTTCAATAATATGTCCAAGAGCAAGTGGGCAGAATCCCCTTCTGTACCCGACCCGATCGTTCCCGTCTCGTTACAGTCACATCTGAAACTGAAGCTATAGCATTATCAAATCTAACGGATCTCTCTGGCAACCCCATTCCTGCAGAACCTCCTCCAACTCAATACTTGTACTGGAACTGTCTATCTCCCCAGCAGATTGCCCAGTCTATAGCAAAGATTAGTCAGATTGTGGAGAAGACTTACTTGGCTGCCTCAAAGACCAAGACGTGAAATCAGAACATTGCTACTTCATTCCTCCAAGGTCATCGAAAGAAACCCACCAACATTACCAAAATTACTTTCAGTACACATTACCTTCCCTGCCTAGGATGTGGGAAAGAGTTTGTAAGATTCGGAGAAGGCGTTGAGGTTTTTCTTTAATGTGAAGGATATGGTCTCGCCAGGCCAATTTGGAGTAAAAAATAACGGCAAGGGATTTGCCAGAGGAACGGTATTGGAGTGGAGCGCCATATAAGAGTGGAAGTTGGAGACCTACACGTGCGCGAGAGAAATGGATGGAGAAAGATTTGGAAGTAGAAAAGCAAAAGCCATGGTTAGTGGCCCAGGAAGATACTGATGCTATTGTAGACAAGGAATTGTCAGGAGGACACTGATGATATTGCAGACAGAATGAATTGTCGGAGATTCGAATGAATTGTTGGAGATTCGGTATGGATGTGCCAGGGACGTAGATGGTTAAATCATCAACATATAGTGGTGCCCGGGCTTCTGGTGATAGAACTGAGACAATCTCATTAACAGCAAGAAGGAATAAAGTAGTGCTGAGCGCACTGCTTTGTGGGACGCCTTCGAACTGAGGAAAGGATGAACCGTATTCATGTTGACAAATGTGGAAAGGTATGAATGAGAACGAATATCTTCACAATACAAGAGATGTATTTGCATCTCTTGTATTGTGAAGATATTCGTTCTCATTCATACCTTTCCACATGAGGAAAGGATGATGACGTGGAAGTGGCAATTTTGATCTGGAAGGTGAGTTTGGAGAGGAAAAAAATTATGATGACACCCATGTTTCTGCATATGCCTAGGGAAGACAACTGTTGGAGAATATGGCACCGCCATGTGGTATCATGCTTTTTCTAGGTCAAAGAATATGGTTAATACAGATTCATAGCGTGCAAATGCAGATGTAATGTATGTCTCAAAATGAGCAAGGGGTCAGCTGAACTTCAGGCACGGCGGAAACCAAACTGGGAAGGGGAGAGAAGATTGTGAGATTCAAGATGCCACATTAAACGGAAGTTAACCATTAGTTTGCGTAAGCAGCTAGGTAGAGCGATGGGGCGGTAATCTTGATTTATTTGGTTTGAAGAAGGGGAGGATAAGAACTTCTCGACAATGAGAAGGAAAATTTACTGACATCCATATGCGGTTGAAAATAGTTAATAGGAAGAATAGAGAGGATGATGGGAGGTGCCGGAGCATACGGTAGTGAATACCGCCAGGGCTTCATGAGTGTTACGGCATGACTGTAAGGCGGCATTGAGTTCAGAGGAATAAAATTGAGTATTATAAGACTCAGCAGAGGATAGGGTGAAGATGATGGGGGTGTGTTCCCTGATGGAAGAGAAGTGTGGGGAAAGGTGAGAGCCACTACTGATCTGGCTGAAATAGTCACCTAGTTCATTAGTGACTTGGAGAGGATCAGAGATGAGAGTATCTTGAATATTGAGGACAGGGGCTGGATGGGGGGATGTTTGCCTGATAGTTTATGGATCCGAAGCCAAACAATTGAAATATGTAGATGTAATTGATGAAACATAATTTGGCCAGCTATCTGTTTTACTGTTCCAGATTGTACGACAAAGACATGCGGATACTCTTTTAAAGGAAATAAGGGCTGATAGCTGATTAGAGGTGCCTCGTTTGTAGCGATAACTGTTCCAGAATTCCACCACTTGGAGGTACAAGGTCTTGAGGTTTGAGGAATGGCTGTATAGGCAGCTCTTAGGACTATAGTTGTGAAATATTGTAGCATATCTGAAATGGACGAGAAAGGGGACGGAGAGGTAGGAATATTAGAGAGAGAAGTGAAAGTACGACAGTCAGTTCTATCAAGGCACCTGCGTGGGGGATTAGGAAGTGGTACACATGAAGGAGAAAGGAGGGCTGGAAAATAGTCAGTATAGGGAAAGTGGTCTACAACTGGCTAACTGGAGAGGAGGGAGCATAGAGAAAGGTCAAGGCGTGAAAAAGATTGCGTGCGTATGTCAAAGTGTGTGGGGCAATCTGAATTAAGATTAATAAGGTCATTTGTGGAGAGGATACGTTCTAGTGATCGGAGGTGGTGATAGTCACCCCACAGAGTGTTGCGGCAGTTGAAATCACCAACTACGAGGAAAGGTGGTTGGAGTTGGGAAATTAGAGTTTCAAAGGCAACAAAGTTAATGGTGTGGGAAGAGGAGAAGTAGACAAATAACTGTGATCCAACGGCGAAGAAAGATGCGAAAAACTGTGCACGGGATAGTGGATGAAATGAAGGTATGACACAAGCTGTTTTTTGATAGATAAGTATAGACAAGACATAAGGGAGTATGGGTAAGAGACAAAATGGTAGCTGGGAATTAGTATAGGAGGGTGTGTAGGAAAAGTCTCTTGGGGGCAGATAATGGATAGATTATAAGAAGAAAAGCTATGACGAAGGTCAGGTCTGTAAGAACGGAAACCGCAATTATTCCAATGTAGGAGAGCTATAACTCAGTTGATTTACGAGTGATAATGGTTGCAGTGCATGTTGGGGAATTTGAAGGGGAAGGACCTAGGGGGTGAGATAAGGAATTAGGGAGGGGATGTATTATTAGGAGGTGGGGGATATGGGGAAGGGCATAGTTGTGACATGAGGGATTCACGTGTGTATCCAGGAGGGAGTGGAAGGGATAGAGGGGATACAGGGAGGGTTAATGTAGGTGTATTTGGAGCTGGGGGGATGTGTGGGAGTAGGAGGAAGGGATGTAGGGGGAATATGAGTAGGAGGATGGATATCGGCAGTCACTTTGAGCGTGGACAGAGTGGGAGTAGTGGAATTTGAGGGTGAATGAGGGTTCTCGGTGTCATTTTGGGACGCGAGCAGATAGTTTTGAATATCTTCAAAAGTTTCTTTAACGGAGTTGGTTGGGGAGTTTTATGAGAAAGGTTTTCTTATAAGGGGGAGGGGAAATGAGGTGACTGGAGTTTGAGGAGTAGAGGCAAAGGTAGGTGGAGCTGTGTGTGTGGTAGGAAAAGAAGAGGTAGAACGTTAAGTCTGTCTGCTGCGGGTAGTGTGGGGAGGGAGAGGGGGTGATGCGGTAGAGATTGGTGTCTGGATTTAGAATGGTAAAAGAATTTGACTGGGGAAGGTAGGAGGTAGAAGTGGGGAAGTAAGACGTAAGATTGATAGTTATTGGAGAGGATGTAGGCACATCTTGGGAAGGAGGGGGAGGGGCAGAGCGAGCGACATTACTGGGATAGGTAGAGAAAAAACTCGTAGACGTGCTTCCTGTCTGGCTTTACGCAGAGTGAGACCAAGTCTTTATCAGACTCAAACTTGTAGGTGGGGCAGCCTCTATGAAATAAATTATGAGGGCCGCCGCAGTCAGCACATGTGCATGACTGTGCAGAGCAGTTTGATCGGTTATGAGCAGGTTGGGTATCGGGTTGTGGAACGGCAGTGTTTGGCATGATGTTAACGCCAACAGTTTTAACATTGGCGGGGAAGAGGGAGGGATTCTCCACCCTTGTAAACAATGTTGGTGGGGTTCTTACGATGACCTTATGGAAGAATGGAGTAACACTGTACTGATATTACATCGTAGTCTGTGTGGCTATTAATTGTTTATAGATAGCGCAGTTTGCTGAGGAGATAGAAAGACTGTTCTGAAATCAAGTATTGGGGCTTAGGCCACTCAGAGGTTCTAAAGGAAATGGGAATCCAGATAGAAAATCAGTTAGCAGGCACAGACAAACCGAATCAAACAACGTGTAAACATTAGTGTTTATAA